TATACCTGTCTCCAGATATGTAAAACTGACTTTATAAATGTTTTACTGTATATGCTTGCTTTTTTATTTTTATTGTTTTTAAATGATGTTGGGTACCAAGACCAGGGTTTTCTGCATGCTGGGAAAGTGCTCTACCACTGAGCTACATCCCCAGCCCTATGGCTGCTTTTGAATATCCTAGGCCAGTGCTGGCGAATCTATGGCACATATGCCACAGCAAGCTGTTTGCTATCACTGAAAGCTCTAAAAGGTTCACCATCACTGTGTTAAGCATTAACTGGCTCTCCAAAAGGGAAAGGTTGAGCAATGAAAGAGAAAAAAGAAAATGAAGCAGAAAGTTTTGACCCTTTAGACTTAGTGCTATAACTTAGTGTCTCATAAAGCAACCATGTCTGATCAGGTGGCAAATAATGTAGTTTATTGCAATTTTGATAGACCTTCCCAAAGAGTTCTTATACAGAAATACAGAACATTCTGTTTAGGATCAGCGTTCTTCGGAAAAATAGAATCAACAGGGTGTGTGTGTGTGTTGTGTGGAAAAAGGTACTTATTTTTAAGAAATTGGTTCACAAGATTGTGCAGGGCTTCCAAGTTTAAAATCTGTAGTGTGGGCTATGGAGAAGAATTTCAGTTTGTGCCCAAAAGTCATCTGCAGATAGTATTCCTTCTGTTAAGGCCTTCAATTAATTGGATGAAACCCACTCACTATATGGAGGATAATCTGCTTTACTTAAAGTCCACCACTTTATATGTTAATCTAGTAAGAAAAAAAATTCAAAGAAATACCCAGAATATTTGACCAAATATCTGTGCACCATGGCCCATCAAATGGACAGTCAAAAATTAATTATCACAGTATCTTAAAATTAATCATCAACAAAGCAATAATATTTGATAATATAATTATTGTATGCCCATTTTATATAACATAGTTCTACATTTTTATAATTTAAAATCTCTGTCCCGCGGTAGTTTTAAGGGTTTTGTTCTGTAGGTTGTAGTAAATCAAGGACCCTAAAGTTGTTTTAGGAATCGTGTATTAGATATTTTTGCTATCTCCCTAAGCCAAAGAACTCCTGACAGCAAGCATAAAGCCTGCATGTTTGTCCCCCTGGAAGCAGGACTTATGCAACAGGGAATGGGGTTGCTACACAGCTAACCAAGAGCCTAGGAAGCCCGAAATAGCATGCAAATTCCCTCACAAAGCAAAAAGCTGAAGCGTCATTAACACAAACCTCTGTAATTTTCCTGTGACTTTGATTTGTAATGGATTATGTTCCTCTCTTCCAGCCTGATTTTTGTTCAGTCTCTGATCTCTTTTTGGCCTCCTGTTCCTTACCGTATCATCTCACTATCTTAACTTTGTGCTTGGAATTTTCCACCCTTTGGCATCTGCTCTCAAGATGATTACATAACTATATTTACTTTGGTGACTTATTTCATTAGTTACTCTCTGAACAAAATGATTTTCCTAATCTGTTTGACTTCCTAAAGCTACTGAACTCCTACTTTGGATCCCTGTGGTTTTTTTAAAGTAATTTATGTCAATCATTTTTAGTAGAGCTTTGCATTTTTCTGTCTCCTTAGCTATTTTTCTTGTGGGAATTTATGCAAAGTAAAAACACCATTTGTCCTTTAGAAAGTGACTTTTCTCTGTTTCATTTTTCTAACCTGAAAGTGAATAACAGACTTTCTGAGCATAAAGTTGCCTTTTAGAAAACATGAAATTTAGTAGATGCCTTCCTGTGTCACTCTTACAGAATTAGAGATTCGTTTTGCTTTTAATGAGACAATCATCTAATATTCTCAAGAATTCCTTACTCTACCTAGTTATACTTTTCACTTATTTGGTCTTTTACCTGGTTATACTTTTCACTTATTTTCTGAGGCAGGTTTAAAATGATAATCACTAACAAGATTCTTAATGCATATGTTAGTGTATTAGTAAACATATTGAGAATGATCTCTGAATCTGCAATACAGTAGGCTTGCTGAAAATGTTCTTGTTTAGGGTATTTGAGTAAACATCTTGGAGGCCAGATGTCTGCCTCAGAAAATTCTTAATGTTATAATAACATAAATGTAATGTAATCTCATAAATATGCTACCATCAGGCTTTATAAACTCATAATTAACTATTGCTCTTTCTAATTTGCTATTTTAGGTGTAAAAGCTCAAGGGCTTTGTATTCAGCGTTCTTTGGTTTTAAGCTCAAAAACTAACTCTTACAAATTTAGACTGAGATATTGAAAACAATACAGGTCAACTCACAAAATCAAGGGTGAAAACTGGTCATCTGATGTAAGAATGCAGCGCGGCAGCAAGCCCTTGGGAGTAAATGCTGGTGATGGACAGCTAGAGCCCTGCTGTTGGTTGACTCAGCTCTAGTTCACGTCCTTACCTGAATGACTCTGCTCAAGATTCACATTTTCAAGAAAAGAGCCTGAAAGTCCACCTTGGGATATATGTCCGTCCCCTAAAAGTATTTATCAGTGTCTTTCCATACATATTTCCAATGTGGACAGAAGGTCCTTCTCAGGTATCATGTTTATAAATCCTGATGCTAGAATATTACTACTTGCTAAACAATGCTAGTACTAGTAATTTGCTTCACATTCAGAAAGAGAAAAAATTGTTTAGTCTAAAATGTTACTTTCTTCCTGGGAGGAAATTTTGAAATTTACTTGGTTGTGTATTATCTTTCTCTTTACATCTCATTTAAATGACATTTGAATTCTTAAACTATCATAAAAGTAAAGCAAAAATATTTACTGAGAGTCAATTTAAAATTTCAAATAATTTTAAAATATAAATTAAAATTTTAATAAATAATTGAAACAATAAATTTTAGAAAATTAAGAACCAGTTTTAAACTAAATTTTCTTTTAATATCTATTTACTTTTCTCATTTATATAAAAAAATTACTGTCCTCTGGTACTGCCATTAAATCCAAGTCTAATCATTGTGCCTTTAGTTCATAGGGAAAACACTGAATTTTTAGGCTTACATCCCTCTCAAGAAAAAGAACTGATTGTAGTTAGACATGAGATAGAAATAAGTTCTAGTGTTCTATTACCTACCAAGGTGAATAGATAACAATAATGAACTGTATATTTCAAAAAGCTAGAGAAGAAATAATTTTGAATATTTTCATCATAATAAAATGTAAAATGTTTGAAGCGATAGATATATTTACTCTAAAGTTATATATTTATATATTATATGTAAATATACAGAGAGGGAAAAAGAGAAACATCACTTGTACTTTGTAAATAATGTACAATTTTTATCAGTTAAAATCAAATTTAAGTTTAAAAAAGGAAAAACTCTATTAATGATGTCAGTTTAAATAGAAATAAACAATCAGTAATCATGTGTGATTTGTCCACAATCAATAGATGGAAAATAATTTTATGCATATTTACAAGTTACTTAACTGTGTGCTTAATACCATATAAAACATTCTGAGATTCACCAGAATTTTTTAAGAGGGAGGAGAAAGGGAAAAGGAAGCACACCAGTGTCATACCAAAATATGTCACACGGTTTAAACAGATGCTTTAAATAGAGAGCTTCAAAGGAGATGGTGTAGGGAACAGATTAGAAGCCATGACGGGGAGACTAAGACTTGAAGTGGGACTTTAGGGTGGGCAGGATTTGCATATGACAAATAAATAGAAGACCTTCAGTATTGTGGCTCTACAAAGATCCTGACTTAGGCTTCTTTATATATTTTTTAAATTTATTTTAAAGAGGAGAAAACAACACAGAATTTCAAATTGAGATAATAGGAAATTAACAATGGTTAATATATTGCATATTGTTATCTTCAGAGTAGTTGCTCAGATTACAAGACATATGCATGCAAAATTGATCAAATAGTATAAGCACAGACAATTCTTTTTAATGAATTAAAAGAAATTAATAGTATAATTATCTTAGATATCTTGTGTGTGTGTGTGTGTGTATATATATATATATATATCACATATATGTGCACATTTATTTTTTTCTTTTCCTTCTTTTCTCTGCTTCTTTATCCCAATTATTCTTTCCTTTTGAGCAGTTTCTTCTCCTTTCACAATATCTATTCTATGTTTTGGATATTATTAACTCTGAGTTTCTTACACTAGGCAGACATGATTACATATGCAAGTCTGATTTGTTTCACTTATGATTATGGTCTCTGGTTGCATCCACTTACCTATAAAAACCTCAATTTTATCCTTCTTTATAGCTGTTGTGTAAAAATAACACATTTTTTTAAACAATTTCTTGATTGATGGGTACTTGGGTTGTTTCCAAGATCTAGCTATTACAAATTGTGGTGCTATAAACATGGGTGCACATATATTGCTGTGGTGTGATATTTTAAAACTGGGAAAATACTATGGGTAATAACTGGATTGAATGGGGTAATCAATCCTAGTTTTTTGAGGAACCTCCACACTGATTTCCACAATGGTTGCAACAATCTACACTCCCACGAATAGTGGAAAAGGGTTTAGGTTTCTTTAAAAAGTGAAATTCAAGTCCTGTGGCATCTTTTGAAGGAGCAGCTATCTTGGTTACTTTTTTTCTCATTACTGAAACAAAATACCTAACACCCAAAATAAAGGAAGGAAAGGTTTATTTAGCTTACAATTTGTGGAGATTTCATGGCCACAGAGGCAACACTTCAAGGCAGCAGAAGACAGCAAAACAGCAAGAGCAAAAAGAGGGAGACAAGTCTCTTCTCCTCCTGTATATTGTACATAGGCTACCATGCTCCTGCTGCCCCCCGCCCCGCGCTCCTCCCAGGGTGACTGTAGCAGTCACACCACCTCAGTGTCCTCCTCTTGTCTTGGGCAAGATGAGGTTGTTTACCAAGTGAAGGTCCTGGCTCCCTGCTGAGTCACTTAGTTAAGCTTCTAAACTTCTCAGGTTGATACAGTGTATTAACCATTGCAGCAGCATTTTGGCATCCCATGAGAAACTAACTTCTTCCCCTTCCTTGCAGGTGTATCTGCACAGCTCACCAGCACCCGGCTCCGCCGCAACACCTCTGTTGGAACGCCCTTCTGGATGGCTCCTGAGGTCAGACAGAGCCTTCAGGGAGACTCTTCTTTATTTCCAACTTTCCAAACTTTCTTTTCATGCATACTCTGTCCCATAACGTTTTGGAATACACCAAAAGAAAATGTCAGAAATGTTAAAGTGAGATTTTTAAATGTGTAAGGAGGAACATGAGAGGGGCTTAATAAATGAGCTGTGAATAGATGCATGGAAAAGCAGAAGATGATCCTCTGAGGAGCAGTTGCAAAAAAATTTTCTGGCTATAGGTCGTCTCTAAATTCTACTAACTGATTCTTTTGCGGTACAGAAGCTTTTTGATTTGATGGAATCCTATTTGTTGATTCTTGCTTTATTTCTTGTGCAATTGTGGTTCTCCTTAGGAAATCCTTTCCTGCACTATTGCTTCAAGTGTTTATCTATTTTATCTTCCAGTAGGTATAATGTTTCTCTTTTAATGTTCGGATCTTTGATCCAGTTTGTTTTAATTTAGTACATGGTGAAAGATATGGGGTCAGTATCCATCATCTACAAATAGTAGTCAGTTTTCCCACCTGTTGAATGGGCTTTCTTTCCACCAGTGTATGCTTTTGGCCCCTGTGTCAAAGATCAAACAGCTAAGTATGTCAGGATGTTTCTGTAACCTCAATTCTGTTCCATTGATTCATGTATCTGTTTTTATATATAAAGAACTCAAAAACATTAAATTAAAAGAGTCAAGAAATGGACAGGTAAAATAAACACATCACAGAAGTACAAATGGCCAACAATTTTGCAGATAACAATATACAATGTATTAGCTACTGTTATCATCCTAGTTTGCAATTTTTTTCACTAAAAAGCAACAAAAAATGGCCAACAAAAGTGTGAAAAAAATGTTCATATCTCTGGCCATTAGAGAAATGCAAGAAAGAATGGCAGTTATCAAGAAATCAAAAAATAACAAATGTTAATGAGGCTATTGTGAAAGAGAGACCCTTCTTCATTGTTGGTGAGAATGTAAACTAGTACAACCAGTATGGAAATCAGTATGGAAATTTTTCAAAGAACTAACCTAATAATTTCATATGACCCAGCAATCCCTCTTCTAGGTATCTTCTCCAAAGAGTTTAAAACATCATACTACAGCAATGCATGCATACCAGTGTTTATAGCGGCACAATTCATAATAGCTTAATCCTGTATACCCATCAACTGATGACTGGATAAAGAAAATGTAAATTCTATATATAGTCAAATACCATTTGCTATAAAAAGGATAAATTTGAAACATTTGTAGGAAAGTGGACGTACCTGGAAAATATAATGTTGAGTAAAATAAATAAGACATACAAGCTTAAAAACCACATGGTGTCTCTCATTTGAATAGGGCAAAATACCAAGCGATTGACAAAGAATGCATAGGAGATGCGGAGATGGATCTCTGGAAAATGAGAAGGAGACCGAGAGACTAAGGGTGAGGTGTGAGGGGAGGAGAAGGGAGAATAAGGAGACTAAAGGTGGCCTGTCCCGGAACCTCCGTGAAGATAAACATAAGTCACAACCATGAGCCGTGATCCTAGTATCAAGAATAAAAATGGGGAGGGGAATTAGATGAAGGAAGGGAAGGGAAAAGGAATTAAAAAAAGAAATAAGGTATATTACGTACATGTACTCACCAAGATGACTGTAAAATGTACTGTGAACTTGTACTAATAAAAACAAAAAGTGAAAAATTGAACTAATAAATGATGTATCAATGAATGAGTGAATCAGATGAAGTAAAGAGAAACCACTTGCCGTTTTAACTTTTCATTAATTTTACTTTTGAGTATTTAACTTGTGTCAGTAACATGATCTTTCCTTTCTGGTTTTAAATAACAGTGGCAATATGAAAAGCTGTGGCTTTGTTAGACCAGATCGAGGTCCATCCGCGTGGGTGGCGAGTTTCCATATTGAGCACCTGCCTTGGGCCCGGGTTCAGCTTTTGGACATTCTTTCCATCAGTTCCTTGGGAAAATTTCAAGAGCCACCTCTCCCCCCAGAGTCAGCAATACCTTTAGTCTTTTTAATTGTTTATCAATAAAGAACACTTATTTTTGCAAACTCTCACTGCAACTGTTGGGAAAAACTGCTATTTATCTACAGCTTTCTGGGGAGTAAAGGGAGGAGAAGTAATACAAATGCTATGTTAATACTGCAAAATCTAATTAAATTTGTTTGAAGATTAAATCCTGTTACACTCTACTTGAATACTAATTCAATTAATACTTATAAAATGAAAGTTGCAATGTAGGCTTAGTATAAAGTATAGGAAAGAAACTATTTTAAGAACATTTTACAAGTTTCAATAGATTGAAAAACTTAGTAAGGACTACATTTTAGAAAAATACAAGTATAGTCCTATAAACAAAAAAGTCAAGTGAGAGTTTCTGTTTGCTCAGCTATTTCACTAGTATTTTTCATAAAAACTTAACAAAAATGGCAAATCAATAAAAAGTTATGTACCAAAGATTGCATTATGTACATGTATATTAATCATATAAATACAGAGCATAAAATTGTACTGTTACATAATGTGCTCCTTTTATGTTGTTACACATTAACTTATATTCACAAAGCCATTATATTTGTTTTGCCATTCATTCATTTATATGCAGTTACCAGACAGTTATTTTTTGGTAAATCTTATTTATTATTAACAAGCCTATAGTAGCACCTTTCCTGCTTACCAAATAATAGATATGATAGTGAAGAAGAAGAAAAAGTTCTCTGCAGTTTTTCAAACTATCATATAAATATACACTTGAGATTTTAAGTATATATTCATTCCTCTGTAATGAATACTTTCTAATCTTGAACAACACTGTATTTTGAACAACTAGCTTTGTAGCTTAAAAATACCCCCAAATATGTTATTAATAGTATCCCTGTGTTATTAATGACACTTCCCCAGCCCTAATGACACATTTCTAAGGATTAGAAAGCAACAGGTAAACAAATACAAATATATTCACCATGATGACATAGAAGTATTTTAGTATTTCCCAGCCCTAAGAGGCAAGCTTGTTGAAATGAATTATCAGTTGAAAAGTGAAATCTTCATTTGGAATTTTAAGTTGCAGTCTACATGAATGACTGTATTTGTTGATATGTAAAGTTGTCTTTTTCAAACAGTGATGCATGTGTACCAGAATAAAGGGCTCAAGGGAAATAGTGACCATACAATTTAATGGACAAAGATCAAGAAACTTTGGAGTGCCCAGGGGTGGAATTGATAAAGATTCTAGCACAATGAGCACAAACCAAGACTGTCCCAGACAAATTGGGACATAGTTCATTTGAATCTGTGTGGAGATGTCCCTAGACTTTTGTGTGGAGCCGTCAAATACTGTGTTATCCTGAAGCCACAATCTTCATGAAAAAAATCGTATTTTTATACTAAAGTAAAGAAGATACTATAGAGCAAATATACAAATGTAAACAACCTACATTTATGGGAATATATTTTCAAGTTTTAATAGCTTTTTGGACAGAGAAATCATTTCATAGGATGTACTCATTTAACGTGCACAATTTTAATTTTCATGATTTTGGTGTATAGTCACAGAATGGCACATTCGTCACTGCAATCTAGGTTTGGAACATCTGGTTTCCCCCTTGATGTTAATGGGTGTTCCCCTTCTCTTCCCATCTCACACAGTCCTAATTAACTGTTAACTACTTTTGTCTGTGTGGATTTGCTTGTGCTGAACATTCCATGTAAATTGAGTCATTACAACATTTAGTCCTAGTGTCTGGCTTCTTTCACTTAATATTTTAATAATGCCTAGATGTGGCTTTGTTGAGTACATCTTTTTATGTCTAAATTATATTTTCCTTTATGTATATACCACATTATGTATATCCTTGAGTTAAAGGACATTTAAATACAGCTAGGACTACTTACCATGTGTATTTTTGAAGTAAAACTAGGCACTCTTATGCTCCTCCTTGTGCTTCAGTGTATGCTCTTTGATTTCTGCAGTTCACTCTCCTGCAGTATTAAAAGTGCTAACAATTTCTGTCTGTGGTAGGAAAGGTTGGGAAGCACTGGGCTCGAGCATGGGAGCATACAGACCAAGTAAGGAAACAGTAGTCTCTCTTCCCTGTCCCCTACAATTTCTTTTTCTTTTTATTAATTGTTCCAGCACTTATTCAGTGGTGATTGCTTCTTAGCCTCCTAAATCACTGCCTTTGTCTTTCCGGCACTTTAGTGTATTCGCCCCCAATCTTGCCACCCAGTGCAGGAGCAGAACATTAGCAAAGCAGGCATTTGCCGCCATCAACTCACCTCTAGAGTGCATGGTACTTATTGCCTGCCTTTTTATTTTTAAATACACTGATATGTCTGTATTTAGTTATTTTCCATCTTTGCTTTTAGGTAGGAGTACAAACTTATTTACAAAGGACTCATCATTCCTAAATGATATATATCAATGTTACCAATTAAACTCCAGTATTCTAACAGACAAGAGTTTTAACATGTGTTAAGCCTATTAGTAAGTAGAAATGTCCCAGAAATAGAAAAATGAGAAGTGCCCCAGATGAGGTTAGGTTTCTTTTATTTTACATATTATTTTATAGTTCTAAAGTTAAATAATACAATTTTTAATTTACCATCATCCCACAGTCACTTTTATTTTCTAGTGGCTTGCCCTGGATAAAATGTAAACTTTAAAAGTAAAAAGTGGGCCAGGTATGGTGGTGCACTCTGTAATCCCAGCACTCAGGAGCCCTGAGGCAGGCAGACTGATGCAAGTTCCAGACTAGCCTGGGCTCCAAAGTGAGCCCAAGGTCAGCCTGAACTGCGTAGTGAGACCCTGTCTCAAAAAGACAAAAAAAAAAAAAAAGCAAAACGTGATTTTGAAATGTAAAGCTGATTTACAGGCCATTGGTGTTTGTATCCTCAATTTACAAATAAATTATGGAGGAATTAATGCAATCACTTTATGTATAATCTGATTTTGCAAAAAAAAATCAGTTTTTGGAGGTTTCAGTCCATGCTCAGCTGGCTCCAAGGCAGGCGGGCATGGTTGGGCCGCCGTTCATGGCAGCTGCAAACAGCAAGCCTGAACTGGCAAAGAGCAAGACACACCTTATTCCTGCCATTACATCACATCCTGGTTCCACCCCTTTGTGGGTGGAGCACTGACACCATCAATCCAAGCACTAGACCATGGACGAATAACAAATGCACAATTCAAATGCATGAGGCCTGGAGAACACAGACATAAACCATGACAAATGTATTAATCTTTATCTCTGCTCCAGTGAATGTTTCCAGTCCTCCATCAAATGTTCATTGAGTGACTCCCACTGGCTGTGCACCCATCCCACCCCTTTCCATGTGGGACACTGTTTCTTTCTTCTTTTTTTTCTACTTTCAAAAATATACCTTCTTCCTTTATATTTGCAAACCTGATAAGGTACTCTGTGTTCTTAGAATAAAATAATAATGTGATTGCTTATTCTTGGCCTAAATTACTGCCTTTATTTTTACTTACAGCTACCAAACTTTACCATGTAAATACTTCTTTGTTCTAAACATTTTGCTACATACTTGTTAAAATCACCAACTTTTCCTTTTTGTTTATGTTTTCTCATAGGTGATTGCATGTGAACAACAATTAGATACCACTTACGATGCCAGATGTGACACTTGGTCCCTGGGTATCACTGCCATTGAGCTGGGTGATGGAGACCCTCCCCTAGCTGACCTGCACCCCATGAGAGCACTCTTCAAAATACCAAGGTCAGATGACTACAGTCAATCTCAGTGGCTGCAGCCCACTTTTCCTTCTCCTCTCACTGAGTTCTCATGGTGGTCATCGTGGAAATATTCACATGTGATCTGGCCAGTTGAGAAAAGTGACCGAGAATATTCGGCTTCTTCCAAAACTGTATTTATTCAGTAGTTGCATGTCCCTGGTCTAAGTAAAAAGGCGTTGTCTAGGTAATCAGTGTTTTTCTTGCCTTTGCTAGAATTTGATCTCAGAAAGGAGCAGTTCCTCCCACTCCTTATCCCTTCCCAAGTCGGTGAGGCACCTGGTGCCTGTCAGTGCCCCATGTTTTGCTTGTCCACCATTCCACACCATTTTTTAATTCCTGTTGACTTCTCTTTGCTCAGAAATTTAAAATAATCATATTACCAAGAAATGATAAATAAAATTTATTGAGTAAATAATGATTTAAGTATGTTAGTATTTTGAATGCATCCATATAAAGTAATAGAGAAGAATGCCCTCTGGAGTGAGGAAGAACATTACTTCTAGATAGGACCTCCCCTAGGAATAGAGCACTCCCCTTCAGTGTGTGCATTAAGAAAAAGTTACTGTTGATTTGCTTTAAATACTGCATTGTATATGTGTTATTAGTTGTAAATATTTCAGAAAGTGTGGAAAGATCGCCTGTCCTTAATCATCAGTGTGTTGTTTCTGAGAACGTATAAGGACTTTGTCTTAATCCTAATGGAATGCACACATGGAGCCCATAACCGCAGGGATCCAGATCAGGGTAGGCGATAGTGTTACAGTTTGCTTGTACCCTCTCCATTAAGCAGATTTTGTGGTCTCAACATCATGATAAAATAAATACAAAGCTTTGCTAGAAGTGGCGGGGGAGGTCTAGTCCTAAATAATGTCTGTATGTTATATCCATTCCTAAATGGATCCACTTAAAATATTTGGCAGGTAACTTGATTATAATACCAAACATTTGTATTTTTTAATTTTGCTGGCCATTTTTTTCTTTTTATATTAGTGCATAGTAGTTCTATAGAATAGTGGGTCTCATTCGGCAGACTCATATGACATTCTTTGGTTGGTTCCATCCTCCCATCATTCCCGTTTCCCTTCCTTCTTCTCTCTCCTTATTGTGTTCCTCTTCTCTAAGAGTCTCCCTTTTACATTCATGTTACCTCACTGTGTCTTCTCTTTAGATACAACATCAGTGGGGAAAAAAATAAAATATTTCATTTTTCTGAACCTTTTTCACCTAACATGATTACATTTGGTATTTTTATTCTTAATTTCCTATCAGTGTATATGTTCTGAATTATAATACTTTAGGTATAAATTATGTTTTACTTAACAACTTCAGTGTCATCTCAGTTATTACTATTTGTAAAATATACTAGTACTTATTTGTTAAGTGGGAAAATGAGGCTACAGAAATGAGGGGGGATGTTCTGTATACCAGTTCTGGATAATTCATTTAATTTTAGAAAGTCAGGGAAAGCTCAGTTTTTCCTACTGCCTATTGTAATTCAGTTACTAAGATGAATCCAGCACTTTCTGAGGCATCTTAATTGTGGTTTGAACCACAGTATTTAACCTACTGCTTTTACTCTTGGTTTCAATGTCACATGGAGGCTGGAGGATGGCAAACGCTGATACAAGCAATGTGCATAGTGATTTGGAATTGGAAGCAAATAAATTATGTCATTATTTCTATCACTAGTGTATCTCTAATGGAAATTTTCAGAATATTAATGGTAGAACTATGTAGATAAGAGTCTGAAATACCCACTTCTAAGTGTTATGAAATCATCAAAACTTTTGTTATTCTCAAAGTAAGTCAGTAAATCTCATAAAAGGAAACTTCCAGGGAACCAAAGATAGAGATTGTTTGGTAAAAAGCACTACTTTTTATGTGCAGATGAGCAATCATCAAGTAGTCCTAAGGATTAGGAAATGAGCTTTGTCATGATCTGGGTAGATGAGTAACTGTACTTTCTTTTAATGAGCCTGTACAAACTGTACATTAATTTCATCAGCTATTTAAAGAGTAATGCAGAATTGAAGACAAAGTATTTCCATTCCACTAACGAAAACAAAGAACTGTTAGAATGAACATAAAGCAGCCCTTTAGTGAATTCAACTATCATGGTTGATCAATGTTGCTTGATTACAGTGTTAGGTCAGCCTCATTTTCAAGTGATTTTCCTTTGTATTCATGAACGGGCCAAAAAGGAAAAGATTTGTTCCGCTTAAAAATGAAAAGAATTAATAATAAAATCTTTTAAGTGGCATTCAGAGCTTTACAGCTAATAACATTTTTCAGTTCCTTGCTTTGTAACACTCTGTAATACTTGTTTCCTCCCATGTACCCAGTTAACAAAAGAACAATCACAGAGATAGTCTGCTATGCTCCTCCATGGCAGTTCCCTGCCTGCTCCAAACAGCTCAACTTTAAACTCACCTCTTGGCACCCTGGTATTCCTCAGAAACTTATGCAAGACTTATAGAAGGAAAGAATCTTTATCCCAATATTCATTGTTTCTAGTCTGTTAAGAATAGATGATTTCCCTGAGTTCTCTCAGGTAAAAGCAAGAAGATTCTTTAGAAGGAAAAATGAACTGTTGGAAAAAAATTGGGGCATATACTAAATGCTTTCAAAAAAATGAGGAACCTGTCATTTTATGTGTAGAATGAGTAATTACTAATTCTCTTCGAATTGGAAATCAGTGGCAGCATTTGACTATCATGGCAGCACCTGCAGATGCACTTACATGTTAGCCTGTCTGTGCTTCTCAGGTGATGCTTACTGTCCAGTGGACACCTTACAACTTGATTCTTCTTTTTCTAGGAACCCACCCCCACAGCTAAGGCAGCCTGAGCTTTGGTCAGCAGAATTCAATGATTTCATTAGCAAGTGAGTAACAATAGAATATATAAGAAAAACCAAGTTGATATCATCTGTCTCTGACGTTGAACTGTGCTTTTTTCAGTAATGCCACTGGGCTTCTAAATCTCGTGTTCCTTCTTGTTAAATAGCTATAGAGGTTTCCGTTATTTTCAGCTATGTCCTGTAAGTGTTAGTCAGTTGATCACTGCATAAAAACTGACCGGAGGGTCAAATCTTTTCATGGATTGATAGCTGTACTTCTGTGGACACTTGGTACTCTGTGGACATGTTCTCTTATCCACCTTTGTGGCAGCTCTGCCCCCAGCGTCTCCCACCTGTTCACCCACTGTCTGGTTAGTCAGTCCTTTAGCCTTCATTTGTCTGCATTGCTAATTCTCATTACATTCAGAATTTTCCCTGCAATCAGTGAATCAGAAAATCATGTTTATGAGAAGCATATACTGGCAAGGGTTATAGCTGAGTGGCACAGTACCTGCCCAGCAAGTGTAAGGCCCTGGAGTTTGATTCTCAGTACCAAAAAAAAAAAAAAAAAAAAAATGCATATGCATTTAAAATTCAAGTTCAAGGAACACTGTTAATTTGACAAATGTTTATCACAGCTTCAGTACTTCCTGACAGTTGACTAGAAACTAGGAGTCAGCTGTTTGGAAAGAATCAGTTCCGTGAACCTGTTTTATAATTTTGTCGTGCCTTCACTTTAAATGTGTAAGGTCAGGGATAACCTCTGGTTGTAAACAGGAAAGAGAGGTCATTGAGATTTAGTGTTCCAGACTCCATTCAGAAAATGAAGAAAGGGCAAAGAAAGTAGAGAACACGGCCACCATTGGCTTTCCTAGAAGGACACCTGCGTGTTCTCCTACAGGCAAGACACTTAAGAGTTTGGCAGAATGCAAGATGTACTGATAATCATTTTCAAAGTTTTCACTGACCTAAGCGTATTCTATGAACTACATTATGTTTAATAAATGCCAATCCCATTTCTCAAGTCCCTTAGGAGATTCACGGGTAACTTTAAAGGGATCCCTGTGATTCCCAGTGCCTGGCTCCTCTCTGCAGATCCCTCCATACAGATTCCCTGTGGATATGGGCTTCTTTCCCATAGTCCTCATAGTTCCCACCAAGAAACATTTCTTAGTTTCCTTTCCAGTTATAGTCTGTCCCAGGTGCCATTAGATTTTGTTCTTCTTTCACTAGTAACATTGCCAATTTGATTGAACTTCACTGTTTTGATGTCTTTCTAACTAAATAGTAAGCAACTGAAAGCCCTGAGTATACCCTTGGTCACTGTCACTCTAGTGTCAAGCCAAGTGCCTGGTGCACATTGGCTATTTGGTAAAGTTTGACTTGAATAAAATAGTTCCACATGTGACTCTTCAGAATACATGGATATGAGTGTTACTGACGATTTCTGTTGAACTAAATGTAAACGACAAGCATGTCACCTTATTCTCAGATATCAACACCTTTGTTTCTTAGCATACTTTAGCAACCTTAGAAAAAACCTTTCTGGGTTAGCCCAATAAAATAAATTGACAAACTATCATGCCAGAAGGGTCAGCAGAGCTGATTTTCAGTGGTTTTGCTGACGCCAAGGACTGGGCAGCAGTGGTTCCTTCTCCTGTGTCCCCTTTCCTCCCTTCCTTCTCTTTCTGTTTTCTCTCCTGCCTTTTCTCCTCCTTATGCTCCTCTTCTTACCTCTCCTTATCTCTGCCCTCTCTTCCTCCTCTTCCTCCTTTCACGTCCCTCCTTTCCTTCTCTCTCTTTCTCTCCCCCTCTTCTTTCCTCCCATCCTCCTTACTCTTCTCTTCCTTCCTTCTCACCTGGCTCCTCCTCCTCTTCGCCTCCTCCCTTTCCTGCAGCTCTTCTTTTTCCTCACCTCCTTGTCTTTCTCCTCTCCCCCCTTCCTACTCTTCCTCCTGTTCCTTTCTCTCTTCCTCTTACTCCCCTCTTCCTCCTATTTCTCCTTTCTTTCTTGCTTTTTCTTTTTTAATATCTTCAAATGACAATCTGATTTTTCATAATTATAGAGCCTCTGTATCTCAGTCAGAAAAGTCTTAGAAAATTATAGCACTCAAACCTCCACACAGAGCTTCAGTTCCTCTTGCTTGGTCCTGAGTGATGGCTCCATCAGGACTTAGCTATCCCTAGTGAAGATCATCATGCTTCTCAAGGCAGCACATTCCACCTTGGTAAACTGCACTTGCAAGGTTCTTCTTGTCACTCACCTGAAATCTGTGGCTGTCTTGATTCTTCCAGTCAATACTAGTTTTTTTCCCCTTGTGTCCACTGAGAACTGGTCAAACTCCTCTTCCAAAATATCTGAAGACAGCGGTCACAGATGATTAAACACCATAAACTTGAGATGCCCCTCCTGTGTTGTCCTCCAAGTTGGTCACACTGGCCTTAATTTCTCTTATGGATATGGTCGGGTTGAATCCATCCACAGCTGTGATTTCATTAATCTATAGATCTTATGACCTTAAAAACATCTGTTGACATAGAATTTAAACATCCTCAGAAGTTTGGCCTTTTCAGATGGGTTAACATATCACCAGAAAAAAAATAGATCCATTAAGAAGTCTTCAAAGCCATCCTGAAGGAAATGAAACAGTTTGTTCATTTCAGATGCACCTTAAAATGGTGATGGCTTTGTGGTCCTCTGTCTTTAGCTTGCAAAAGGGCTTGTCCAGAGGGCTTTAAGTGGGGACACTTTGATCATCACCAGAGGATTCTTGCTCAAAGCAGAGGGAACAGCATCAAGCTGCAGTTGTCACGGCAGCAGCAGCGTTCAGAGATGTGTGCATTTCACAGACATTCTTCACCTTGCACTTTAATATTTTTCACACTGTGCTCATGCTGAGCATTTATAAGTGACACTTGCTTAGAGAAAAGTAGCTTTTTTAGGAATCTGAATGACAGTTTCAATACTCTAAATTACCTACTAATCATGTGCTCTTTCTTGCCAGTGCAGATGTTTGACTAAAGATTATGAAAAGCGTCCAACAGTGTCAGATCTTTTACTGCATAAATTTATTACTCAAATCAAGGGAAAAGAAGTAATGTTACAAAAACAGCTAATGGAATTCATTGAAATTCATCACTGCATGGGAGACACAGAAAAAGCCAGGTAAATAATACCTTGAGGCCCAAAATCTAAACCTCATCTAAAGACTGAACACTTTTACGATGCAGTAGTTGCTAGGATGGAAAAAGTAACTCATTTAAGGTCTCTGGTTGTTACTTGGAGGTAATGGAGTGTTTTCATGGAAAGTGAGTTTTACATGTTGAGTCGTATCCTGGTAGTGGAGCAATGACTCGCAGCATTTTTTGAAATGACTGAATCAGAGCAAAAATATTAACATAGGTGAACTGTCTTGGTTACTTTTATCTCGTCGCTGAGACAAAACACCTGACACCTAAAATGAAGGAAGGGAAAGTTTATTTAGCTCACATTTTCTGGAAGTTTTAGTCCATAATCAGCTGGCTCCAAGGCAGGATGGCATGGCTGTGAGGCAACACTTCCAGACAACAGCCAGAGCAAAAGAGGGAAACAAGCCTCTTTTCCTCCCTTATGTTGTACACAGGCCGCCACCACCCGCACCAGGGTGGATATAAGAATTACAAAATCTCTGTAACCTCCTCTTGCACAAGATGAGGATATTTACAGAGGAAGGATCCCAACTCCCTGCTGAGTGTCTCAGTCAACGGTCTAAACTTCTCAAGTTGACACAATGTACCAACCATAGCATAAACTTCATTAGATTATTAGTATTCATATATGTTTTCTTTTTCAGTAAGTAAAGTAAAATGTTTTAGGCTTGAGATTTTAAAAAATATCAGTCTTAAAAGAATGTTTGACTATATTATTTGTTAGTATCATTTTCTCTCATTACATTATAATGTCAAAGCATTTAAATGTCTTCATAGTTTCCACTTGAATTTTTTTAACTGGGAATCTAGTTCAGGTCCTTGTACTTGCCAGGCAGGTGCTGTGCCACTCAACTACATCCCTAACCCTTCTATTTGGATTTTTAATAGCACATTTATTTTAGGGATTTTAGAACAAAAGTATGCAAAGTAGAAATTAATCAAGTATAATATTTTAATCTATAATCTTTTAGTATCTCTTACAGTTGGATATACATTTTAAAGTAAACCTGGAGTATACATTTTATGAATTCTGAGGGCTGTATTTTCTCTTTCATTAGTGAATATTCATATTATTACCTTTCTACCACAAAAAAATTTAATGGCTACACAGCACTCCCTCCACTTAATATTCAGAGATTGATTTAAAGTTTTTTTCTGTTTCTAGATATTTAAGTTGTTACTAATTGTTTTTACCTTAACAAATAATACTGCAAGGAGTTGTTCAGGAGTCTTTTACTGTTTCCTTAAGATAATTTTCCAATGAAAGTACTGATTTGTAATTTAAATGTATTTCTGAGAATCTCACTGGCTTCATTTTGGAAGCATATCGGTATTTAGGGAGTTGAAAGAAGTAAAGAGAAAAATAGAACATGACTTATTTGAATTCCTGTTGTGAGTTCACATCTTTAATTCCTACAGTTTAATCCTGTCTAGTTGCCAGCTACTATGTAAAGACTTCTTTTACATTATCTCATGTGATTTTAAAACAATTCTGAAGAAAATTTTTTAGGACATCTCATTTTCACAATTAAGAAGAACTGAATTTTGTACAAGTTAGTCAATTTACATAAGGCTGTGCAGGTAATGAATGACTTCACAGAAACTCAAATCTTGGTCTCAAAAGGTTTTATCCATGAGTAGATGGCTAATGATTGTGGATGATCTTGAGCAATAGTCCTTACATACATGAATTTATAGTCTTGATACAGAGGCAGAATTAGTATACCTTTTGCAAGACAAATTATGGTTGTGCGTGAAATTAATCTACTGATAAAAAAGCACATAGTGACAGCAAGAAGGTGGTTGTCCGATCTTATAAGCTCATCTCTGTGTCTTTATATGAATGTAGCTCCATAGGTCTCCACAAGCACCGTTCCCCAAACAAGCAAAATTAACATAATAAATACACAAAATAATCTTATTGTGTGCAATGTCCTGTGCCAGAAACTAAGAAGCATCTACTTACTTGCTAACAAATTGACCTACCCCAAGGTTTTATGACTGCTAATAGAAAACACAAAACTCTTGAGTCAGAGACCAAGGATCCTCTTACAGCTAAGCTGAACTGTAAGTTTCCTGTCCACACTGGGTATCACTGTCCCTTAATCCCAGGAGTACTGTGCAACTGTCCCAGTGGACACTATGTACACAATGAACTCGACCTCACAGCTGGAGAACCCTGAGGTTTACTTCAGTTTTCTAGAAGAGTTGCTCACACACCCGCCCATATCTTGCCCTGGCAGAGACATTATGTTTGTTATCATGGAAAGTAACTAAGTAGCATTTCCTAGAGCGGAAGTACCATTTTTAACTTCTGTGTTAGTCACTTTCACTTTATTGCTGACACTCAGTGCTGGACACCAATAACTTAAAGGTAGAGCATTTTATCATGGCCCTAGTTTCAGAGATGGTGGATCCTTACATGGCTGGCAGCAATAGCTCCATGGTGCACGTGGTGGGAGCTACTCACACCGTGGTGGCCAGGAACCAGAGAGTGAGGAGGCAGCTGGGGAAAGAGTTCTGCCTATGTTCCAGATTACGAGCCTAGTGACCACCTCTTCCAGCCAGGCCCCCACCTCTAAACGTGAGAATTTGGGATACATTTTAGATCTGAATGATAACAACTTTCAAGTTACACAAAAATCATTGAAAATAGAGTCTGGAACAGAAGCTCAGACAATACATACATAAACATAAGGAACCAAGGGAGAACTGTCTCCCAAGATTAAAGCATATTATATTGCATTAAGCTCATTACTTCTGACTCTGAATCACACAGTGTATTCTGTATACTGTTAGAAATATAGGACATGCTTTCAGTATGATAATTTATGCATTAATCAATTATGGAAATATCTCATTATTTAAATATTTTTTGAAAAGAATAAAACTAAAGGAGAAAGAAAACAAAATGGGGTCATTTAAACAAAAGGATGGACATAATACATGATTTAAAAACCACAATACAAAGTGATCTACAATGGTTACTATGATGTCCCTTGTTATCTTCAATAGCATTGCCCATATCATCAGGTACAGTAAAACTGAACATAGTATATAACAAAATCAATTAAAGCAAAGCATTGGAGACATTATAGGACTTCAAAAGCAGATAATAGTCCAACCAGAATGGGTATCACAGTGAATTTTATTGTCTTCATAGTAATTGCCTATACTCTCAGACTTAATACTATCAAACATAACAGATTCAAATAAAATCAGTCAAAACAGGACAGCAATCTAACAAACCAGATTCAAATAAAATCAGTCATAATGAGTCAGTATAAGTAATACAGGGCTTCAGATTAAGTTAATAGGAAATAAAAAGTAGTTACTGTAATATGTCCTGCTATTTTTGGAATACCTGTCTGTTCCCTCAAATCTAGTACAAGTAGACAGACTAGAAAAGAATATAATCAAACTAAACAGATCTATGAGAACAATGTGGGTTTCAAGTCATGATACAAGATTAACAATGTCCTTTGCCTTCCTTTTTTAGACAATTCCTCTCATTTCACTTTCCCAGGATACATTGTACATTTTGTATTACACTAACTCCTTTAGTTTTAGATTAGGGAGGCAGCTCGCTATTTACCTAAGTGGTTCTAAGCCTTTTTAACCCCTGAGCTTGATCTCAAGTTGTATTCATTTACTTACAATAGCCTCAAAGTTTTCATTCCTTATAGCTGAGTAGTTCTCCATTGTACAAAAGTGTTATGTCTTTCCAACTTATCCACAGCTACTGGGCAAGCTACCACCATTTTTTTTCTGGTTCCCTGTCACATAGAGCAATATTTTCTCATCTTTGACTTTCAGTCCATAAACCCTCTTTCGGGTTAATTATATTTCTTATATACAGCATCTTGATGGACTCTATCTCCTGATCCACTCTGTCTGTGTTTCTTTTTATTAGTATATCAAGGCCATCTATATTAGTGATTATAGCTAAATTTCTCTGCCTCATCTCTTCGTGCTATTTTTCTACCTTTGGTTGTCTTTTCCCCTTCATTCCACTGTCTGCCCCATTCAGTGAGGCCTCTCTGCCGCTGTTCCTGAAACCATGTTTTTTCTCTCTCTCTCTAGAATGTCTTTCAGTATTTTTGTAGGATTAGATGGGTGGTCATGAATTCCCCCAATTCCTCTTTGTTATGAAAGTATCTTGTTTCTCCATTAATTCTGAGAGTCAGTTTTGCAAGTTACATCAATCTTGTGTTGGAGGTTATTTTCTTTCAGGGCTTGGAATACTTTGCTCCAAGCTCTTCTTGATTTAATGGTTTCTGTTAAGAATCTGTCATGATTGACCTTGGGCCTGCCTTCACCGGCCATTCTGGAGACTAGGCAGCCAGTGGTGAGTGTCCCCACACCATCCCAAGCCACAGGAGATTGGGATCATCGTCCACTCCTGTCAAGGAACTTCCTGGCTTCCTGCTGCGCTCGGCTGGCTCCACAGCTTAGGACTGCCTGCACCAACTTCCCAACTTCCTGCTGTGCTTGGCCAACTCCAGGGATCTTGGGCCTGCCTGCTCCCTCAATTCTGGAAACTGGGCAGCCAGAGGTGAGGGTCCCCACACCATCCTGAGCACTGGGAGTTTAAGATCATTGCTCCCACCAGCCAAGGAACTTCACAAATTCCTGCCACACTTGACCCGCTCAGCAGGTCTTGGGCCTGCCTTCCCCACCTCTAGTGATCCTCTCTCAATCCGGGGAACTGGGTGGCCAGAGTCCCAGGAGCTGAGAGCATAGAAGAGGATTTCCAACAGGCACAGGGGAAGCCTTGGAATAAGACTTGAAACACAGAAATATAGAAAAATGACAAAACAAAAGACCAAAATACAATCTCAAACCTCCAGCCTATCCCAAGAAACCTCTATGTACATAGAAGAAAATATATGCCGTACACCTGAAATACCTGAAATAATAGCAACTGAAATAAAGAAGCAACTCTGGGAAGCTTTAAAAAAATTCAAACTAAAAATA